ATATATATATATATATATATATATATATATATATATATATATACACAATATATTTTATGTTAATTATAAAATATGCATATTATGCATCCAAAAAAGTAAGTTTGACAGCGTAGGAGAATGCCTCGATTCGTACGCCATTCACAGTGGTTCATGTGAGTTGGTGGAGATTTCTCAGAAGCATCATGGGTAATGTAGGTTTTGCACCAGGAATTCCGCTGTTGAACACAATAATTTAAATAATAATAATAATAATAATCAAATAATGTGGATTTATGGCTTCAACAAGACCATTACACCATTAACATCCTTGTAGCTCACAGTAGGGTTATCTTTATTTGATAAATTATCATTAAAAACCAATTCCGCAATGGAGAAAATAATTGTGATTGATTTTTACTTTCAGAGCCCGGGTGCTGCACTTTGGTTGCTGGTCACTCATACAAACAGCAATGTTTTAACAGCACCACAGACCTACACTGTTCACATTTTTGAGAATAAATAACCTAATAATAGCTTAATGATAAATGCATCTAACAGAAGTATTTTAACATTAAAAAAAAAAAAAAAAAAAAAAAAAAACCCAGCAAAATCATTTACATTGGCAGTTTTCTAATGCATCTATTTCACTGGCATGGGGGTAAAAGATGATAAACATCTTTAAAAAAAAATGAGATAAAAATGTTGTTCGGCTCATTCACATTTATGGAAGCAAATATAATATATACCTACTTCGACAATGCAGAAGAAACACACAAAAACACTGGTTCTCCTCGGCTAAACTATTATGTGAAAAGTACTGATTCAACTAGCATGTCTTCCAGTGTAGTTCTAAGAGCTTCACTAACACTTCCCTAAATTTAGGCTAAAACCCTATGAAGCCTCATGTCCAGTGAGGCAGCGAGGACTATTTGGCTGCCCATGTGAGGTAAAGAGCGTCGGTCACCAGTCTGTTGATGTTCTAATGCGACTGGACGGGCCCAGATTCAAAACAGTGTGGTAAAGTGACAATTTCTGAGAAGAACTCTGTCGGGCTTTCCTGCTCCAAGCCAAGGTCTTTCATCACAGGCCGCTTGATCCGTGTGGATTTACGGTCCCTTTCCCAACCAAACCCAATACTTTAAACAAGACTCAGTTTCCCCAGTCCACCTTCTGAAACACAATTTACTGGCATGGGGAAGATACATGCCACTGTCGGAATATCGAGAACACCCTTTTTGATTTGTCATGAGGACCCTGGATGGAAAAAAAAACAGGGCATTAGAGGGATGAAAAATTATTGCTTTGACAAAATACCAAAGTACAGAGTTGTCGTATTTGGTTCACCTGGGATAGACTGGCCCCTACTGGACTGAGGCTTCTCTTCATGGATAGAAACAGAGTAAGCACTGCTTTCCAGCCAGGCCGAGGGAGCTCAGCCTCAGAGCCAACAAAGACAGAGCCATCTAGATTGCCCTCCTCTCTTTCCACACTCACCCAAGGACACCAGTCTCTGTGCTGGGCTACTGGGTCAAAAACATTTCTGTGCATCGGCCCTTCCTATAATAGAAAAACAAAACAGGCTTTAGTGCTTAGATATGGTATTTAAAATTCAATAGATTTTGTCCAGGTAAGTAAAAGACACATAAAAAGTATGTAGTAATATTATTCTACAGTAATAACAACTTTACACACAGTAATAATAGTAAGAGACCCTGTGTGCGTGTATGCATATATAAGAAATAGAGTACATAGTGTTATGCAGACAAATAAAATGTATTTAATATATTCTACAATCATAGTAACAATATAGTAAAAAATTATTATTATTATTATTATTATATTTAAATTATAATGGAAGTCTCTGTGCTGGGCTACTGGGTCAAAAACATTTCTGTGCATCGGCCCTTCCTATAATAGAAAAACAAAACAGGCTTTAGTGCTTAGATATGGTATTTAAAATTCAATAGATTTTGTCCAGGTAAGTCACATTTATAAGACACATAAAAAGTATGTAGTAATATTATTCTACAGTAATAACAACTTTACACACAGTAATAATAGTAAGAGACCCTGTGTGCGTGTATGCATATATAAGAAATAGAGTACATAGTGTTATGCAGACAAATAAAATGTATTTAATATATTCTACAATCATAGTAACAATATAGTAAAAAATTATTATTATTATTATATTTAAATTATAATGGATCGTCCTTACAGGGTCACTGGCAGAGGAGAGACGTGGGCATTTTGTCTTTCGCTGTGGACTAGAGGGCACATCCACAGCCAGGTTTTCTCCTTGGCCCCTGCTGCGAGTCATGGGTCTCTTGGCCCTTGACAGGGGGCTGGGAAACTCCTCATGTGGAATAGGCGAGTCCCTGCTTCTGGCGTGGAGGACCAGTCGGGATGGTGTACTCTCCATCTATGTTGAGTCAATGTTGACAAAGTTTAGATGGTTATGACTGAATAAATTTTAACTATATATATTGTATAACTTCAAAATGTAAATGACCCACCTGCTCAGAGCGTGTGGGGTCTTGACTACGCAGCTTCATGCGACATGGAGTAGGGGACTGGGATGGTGAGGTGGGCATCCCCTTTTCCTCACTTGTGCCTAGAGATGGAATCAAGGCAGTAGTAGATGTTGGAGACTGCGGAGGATTTTCGCTCTCTGAAACGGTCTCCATTTGAAAGAAGTTCCACATTCCCACATTTCTCATGCAGTACGAACAAGTGAGGACGGGCAGATTCATAGCTTGGAGTGAAGGGCTAAATAGAAACAGCAAAGAGTTACGTGAAATAAAAGTTTAGCAGAAAATTTGCCAAGATTGCATCAAAGGTCACTGATTGGATTTTTACCTGGCTGTCCAACCACAAAGAGCTACGATACATGCTGCCACCAGTACAGAGAGTGGATCTGATGAGACCTTAGAAGGAGAACCACACTGCTTCACTTGTTCATCTTCAATCAGCTGTAGGAGAACACTTATTACATCTTCAGTCAAGGTCTGTGAGAAAAAAAAATTATGAATGCATAGAATCATTATTCTTGGACTTCCCTTTAAAAATATAACATCATACCATGGCTTTAAGGTGCTCTGGTTTCATAGCAGGCAGCTGTTGTTCTAGAAGGCAAGCACTTTTGAAACGGTCTAGAAAGGCACTGAATAATACCATAGGTTCATTAATAGGAACCATCCAGAAGCGATCTGGAAAGAAAAAAGAAAAAAAACTATTGACTAGCAATTTCTGCTTAAGATTTCAGACAGACTAGCGGACCTCTCAAGATACCTGGACATGGAAAATCCGGCCAGGAACAGAATTTCTCATGTTGCGTTAGAAGCTGCAGTAGCAACTCTGAAATCCGTCCTTCATCTAAAAAATAAATCAGTGAATGTGTGCAGATACAAAATATGGCTTCACTCTAGAAACATTCTATAAATTATATACACACACACACACATACATACACACACAGTACCTCACAGAAGTGAGTACACCCCTCACATTTTTGTAAATATTTTATGTGGAGCTGGTGGATGTTAGAGACCTTGAGCTCCTCCACCTTCTGTTTGAGGATGCCCCACTGATGCTCAATAGGGTTTAGGTCTGGAGAAACGCTTGGCCAATCCATCACCTTTACCCTCAGCTTCTTTAGCAAGGCAGTGGACCACTTGGAGGTGTGTTTGGGGTCGTTATCATGCATATGGTCTGAGCTCTGACAGGCTGACCCCCTACCCCTTCAACCTCTGCAGCAATGCTGGCAGCACTCATATGTCTATTTCCCAAACGCAACCTCTGGATATGATGCTGAGCATGTGCACTCAACTTCTTTGGTTGACCATGGCGAAGCCTGTTCTGAGTGGAACCTGTCCTGTTAAACCACTGTATGGTCTTGGCCACCGTGCTGCAGCTCAGTTTCAGGGTATTGGCAATCTTCTTATAGCCTACGCCATCTTTATGTAGAGCAACAATTCTTTTTTTTCAGATCCTCAGAGTTCTATGCCATGAGGTGCCACGTTGAACTTCCAGTGACCAGTATGAGAGAATGACAGCGATAACACCAAATTTAACACACCTGCTCCGCATTCACACCCGAGACCTTGTAACACTAATGAGTCACATGACACCGGGGAGAGAAAATGGCTAATTGGGCCCAATTTGGACATTTTCACTTAGGGGTATACTCACTTTTGTGGCCAGCGGTTTAGACATTAATGGCTGTGCGTTGAGTTATTTTGAGGGGACAGCAAATTTACAATG